AGAATGACCATCTAATTTGGCTTTTTATTATCCTGTCTTAACATCCCATAAACGGATAGACTCATCTGAACTACCAGATGCTAATGTAGTTCCATCAGGAGAGAAACAAACAGACAAAACACTATCTGAATGACCATCTAACTTATTTAACTCATGTATTTTAATATTGTTCCATTTACAATTGAACAATTAAGCTTAATTCAAGTTGATTCCACTTATATCCACATTATCAAATTCTGATCCATTGAAATTGCATCGTATAAAATTTCCACCAACCAAAGAAGTATCTCTAATCCTTATATTCTCAAAGCTTTGTTCTCTCAAATCCACTTTCATTTCTACCAATAAATTGAGTGCATTCGATCCGCTTTAGATAAATCTCTCATCAATAGCTGTCAATTATACCAGAAATTACAAAAATTCAATTATGTGCTAATCATAAGATATTTATTTTATTAAACCCTTTCTAATTTAATCATAGTTCTCATTTGAATAATTCTTCTTATTAAAGTCTATTTCGTTTATATTTTTGAGAATATTATAAAGACACTTTAACTTAGGTTGCACCCTACGCTTCTTATTTGATAGATATTCAAAGCAATCTGTTATTTTTTCCATCTTTACCTAATATAACATCTCCTTGATGAATGATTTATCAATATTCTTTGACTGTATTAATACGGAATACAAATCTTCTTTACTTTCATAAACTTATAGCATTTCTTAAATAGGTTGAATACTAGTCATTATCTTCTCCTTTAACTCTTCTTGAAACTACTTAACTTCTTATTCCCACCACTTCTACTCAACTTATAGGTTACTCAAATAGGCATTTTTCTCATAGATCCAATCATTTATGTATTCCCCTTCTAAAATTGATATCATTAATTCTAAATCAGAATAAGAAGATTGAGCTATGTTAGTATTTGTGTTGATAAGTTGAGAATATGTTTTATTTTTATTTTCAATCAAATCATATATTTAATTGATTGATTGGAATAATTATTCAAACATTTATTTCATTATTATTTAGGTTTGAGATAGCATCAATTTAAAATTATTTTTCTTTTCTATAATTTCAGATTCTTCATTACTCTTGAGTTGCTATAATTTCAATAAAACCATTTTTGGAAATTCATCAATCGAAATTGCATATTTTATATCCACTTTATGTTCAAGAAGGCATTTTACGCAGAGTTTCCTTTAACTTGAACATTTGTGGGGAGCAATACATATCAGTGATACTTTATCTTCAAAATGATTTTAACAATTCATTCTTTTTTAAATATTATTGAATTTCTATTACTTTACTTTGAGTTTTATACTAAAAATCAAAAAGGTATCTTGCACATTATTGTTTGGAAGAAATGCAATATCACAAAGATTGAGAGTTGATGTAAATTATACAATTGAAAACTTACATAGACTTATCCAAAATGGATTCTTAAAAAATATAGAATGAAAATAACACAAATAATTCAAACACTAATATATTACTTTAATTATTGAGAATTTTTCAGTTAATGTATTCTATAATTTTCTAACAAACTTAATAAAAAATCTAGAATCCCCCAAACCGGGTTTGGGTTTGGGGTTGG